AGCAAAAGACATTTCCTTGCTGCTGTAGCTGTCTCTCCGCAGCGCAGAGGGGGCCCTGATGGGGGCCCCCACGAGGGCCCCCAGGGGGCCCCCCTGATGGGTACTGCTCAGGCTTGGCTTTGCTGTCGTCACGGAGAGGAGACTGCAGCAGCAGCTTATTGCTGCATAGGCTGCTTCCACCTGTCTCTGCAGCAGCAGCAGCAGCAGCAGCAGCAGCAGCAGCAGCAACAGCAGCAGCAGCAGCAGGAGCAGCAGCAGCAACACAAAGAAGAGGCCGAGAGGGGGTTTGTATTTTCACTGTGTTTTACTTTGCTGACTCTGCATGCATTTTGTTTATTATTTGCTTCTTTTGTTGTTTTATTTTTTCTGTTTATTTATTTATTTATTTATTTGTTTATTTATTTGTTTTTTTATTTTTTTTTTATTATTTTGTTGTTTGTCTGTTGCATGCGCTGCTGCAACGTTTTTGCTTCTGCTTCGGACAGCAGCAGCAGCAGCAGCAGCACCAACAACAGCAGCAGCAGCAGCAACAGCAGCAGCAGCAGAAGCCTAAACTTACCTACAAAACAACTCATATACGGGGGCGAGGAAGGTGGGGGCCCCTGGGGGGCCCCCCCCTGCTGGGGAGAGGAGGGGAGGGGGGGGGCCCCCTGAAGGGGTGGGGGGCCCCCGCTGCTGCTGCTGCTGCTGCTGCTGCTGTCTTCAATGATGCTTTGCTGGCTGCGGACGTGCTGCAGCTGCTGCTGCAGCTGCTGCAGCTGCTGCGTCGCTGCATGCAGCCCCAGCTGAGGCTTTTGCTGCATCTCAGGGGAACAAAGTGCTGCTGCTGCATCAGCAAGACACCGCTGCTGCTGCTGCTGCTGCTGCTGCTGCAGTTGCTGCTGCTGCTGCTGCTGCTGCTGCTGCTGTTTGTCTTTGGATCCCTCTGTTTTTTTGTGGAGTCTTCGTCTCGCTCTCTCAGCTGTATGGCCCTGACCATAGGGCAGCAGGAACGAGCTCTGCTGCTGCTGCTGCTGCTGCTGCTGCTGCTGCTGCTGCTGCTGCTGCTGCTGCTGCTTGATGTCTTCGAGCTCCTCAGCTGCTGCTCTAGAGAGGAAACCCAACTCCTGTGTGGCTGGCAGCAGCAGAGAGGAGGGGCTCCAGCCTGCTGCTGCTGCTGCTGCTGCTGCTGCTGCTGGTGTTGTTCCTGCTGCTGCTGCTGCTGCTGCTGTTGCTGCTGTTAGGGTTAGGGGGCCCCCTGAAGGGTACCCCTTCAGCTTTCTGTTGTCTGCAGCACGCAGCAGCAGGTGTTGCTGCTGCTGCTGCTGCTGCTGCTGCAGTGCCCTTGTCTGCATGCTGCGGGACGCGCGTCTCTGCATCATCATTTGCTGCTGCTGCTGTTGCTGCTGCTGCTGCTGCTGCTCCTGCTGCAGCTGCTGCTGCGCGCATGTGTGCTGCCACATAGAAAGGACCTCCTGATGAATACAAGAGAGCTGCAGCCGAACGTCATGCATCGACTGTCTGTCTTTGCTGCTGCTGCTGCTGCTGTTGCTGCTGCAGCTCTTGCAGCTCCTGTTGCTGCTGTTGCTGCAGTTGCTGCTGCTGCTGCTGCAGCAGCACCAGTCCTCCTGCTGCTCCTCCTCCTCAAACGAACGCAGAAACCCGTCGCAGCTATTCTCGTGTGGGGGCCCCCCCACCAGGGGGGCCCCCATCAAGGGGGCCCCCAGCAGGGGGCCCCCAGGGGCCCCCCTCGCCTCGCTGGGGGCCCCGTCTGCTGCTGCAGCAGCTGTAGGGTCAGCAGCTGCTGCGGTGTTTGCTGCTGCTGTATCTTCAGTGCAGCAATTCTGCTGCTGTTGCTGCTGTTGTTGTTGCTGCTGCTGCAGCAGAGCCTCTAGTTCATTTGCTGCTGCTGCTGCTGCTGCTGCTGCAGCAGCAGAAGCAGCAGGGCTTGTCTCACCCCTTGCGCTGGGAGAGGCAGACGCAGAGTTGCTGTTGCTGCTGTCGCTGCTGCTGCTGCTGCTGCTGCTGCTGCTGCTGCTGCATAGCAGTTGATCCAAGTCGCTGTGCCCACCGCTGGATGACAATTCAGAAATAAGAGAAACCTCCTGCTGCTGCTGCTGCTGCTGCTGCTGCTGCAGCTGCTGCTCTTGCTGCTGCTCCTGTTCTTGCTGCTGCTGTTGCTGCTGCTGCTGCTGCTGCTGCAGTTTTGAGGATGCTGGGCCCTCTGCCCCTGTCTTTGCGAAGGAGTCGATTGGCTCCGTCTCGTCTGTCACT